TGTAGTTACAGGATGAGAGCTACGCTCGTGGTGTGTGTAGACACTAGGCAATGAGGCACTGCTGAACGTCTAGGCCTCGCCATGGAAGCAGGCTGTATCTCAATCTCACTGTCAGTGCTATTATCATAAGACATCTGTGCATAGTCTCTATCGATGTCAGAGTCATCAATATCACTTTCCTCACCATCAGAGAATAATGCACTATTTATTTGATCTTGAGTCAATGATTGCATGGTGAGAGTCCGGGAGGCATTTGGCCGTGTGCTTGCCATGGTGATTGTTGGGTAACTGAGGCCCTCTCACACTGTGGTGGTCCAACTGGATTTTGTTTCAAAATGTCGGCTGTTTACTAAAGCCCCTGGGTAGCATATTATGGGGAGCCCCCCTCTACCCCGCGTTCCGTTTAAATCATGTGCGGTACTCCAAAACGTCATATGCAGTGGTGCACACTTTTGAGTCTGTTACTCAACACGTCATATGAAGTGTTGCGTAATTTAAGGGTTAAGGGCCACAGCAACATTTTGACATTTTTAATGTTTTTAACCTCGTGATTTGAAATAAAAAAAATTGAATTTGGCAATATTTTAACAGTGTTCTCATGTTTAAAAATTTTCAAGTAATGTTAATAAGTCACTGGCTATGAATTTCTCGCATGAAAGAGGTGCACAGTGCTGGAGTTAATAAAATGTAATTAACCACTGCACTGCGCAAAGCGCCTTTAGGCGCTCAGAGAGTTGTGCTTTTTGTTTTTTAATTTGACTATATTTTAACACTTTCGCGTTCCACAGACTGAATATCTCGTCACTCACTTTTCTACTGAATGTGTTCCAACGACACAATACTGAGTCACTCATTACAATATTTTTTAAAAATTTAAATTTTATCAGATCAATCTGGTAGTGATTTTAAAATAAGCGCCTTTAGATTGCACACAATTTGATACCAAAATCAAAGATATAACATGAAACTTGATGTCCAAACACTTGAAATATTATAAATAGGCCTATGGTCCGAATATTAAAATATTTGTTAAAATTCTATTTATTGTCCTATTATCTTGGGACTTGTTTTAAAATGTGCGCCTTTTTATTGCGAACAATTTTATACCAAAATGAAAGATGTAACACAAATATTTATGTCAGAACACTGGAAAGATATAAATAAATTTGTAATGATGAGCGTCCAGAATTAAAATATTTGTTAAAAATCCAGTTATTGCTCTATTATTCTGGGACTAGTTTTAAAATAATCGCCTTTTTATTGCGAACAATTTGATACCAAAATGAGCGACGTAGCACGAAATTTGATGTTATCAAATTGAACGAGTTGAACATTAGGTTTCAATGTACAAAATGGTGCTCGTTCACGGGTAACTTTAGGCTTTTCTGCAGGGAGGCACTCCAGCCTTTTGTACATTTTATTCATACACATCTGTAGGGAATTTAATTGCGAACACAATGATACCAAAACGAGCGACGTAGCACGAGAATTAAGGTAAAAAAATGGAACGAGAATGCACGTTACTGATTTTGTGCGTTTTTGCCGACTTTACGCTTTGCTGTTGGGAGTCACGCTAGGCTTTTGGACATTATATTTATACACACCTGTAGAGAATTTAATTGCGAACACAATGATACCAAAACGAGCGACGTAGCACGAGAATTAAGGTGATAAAGCTGGAACGAGTATACACATTTGGGTGTCACCGCGCGCTTACCCGCACGGAGGCTACCTACCTTGAGGCTACCTTGAGGTGCTTCCGGGGCTTAGTGTCCCCGCGGCCCGGTCGTCGACCAGGCCTCCTGGTTGCTGGACTGATCAACCAGGCTGTTAGACGCGGCTGCTCGCAGCCTGACGTATGAGTCACAGCCTGGTTGATCAGGTATCCTTTGGAGGTGCTTATCCAGTTCTCTCTTGAACACTGTGAGGGGTTTGCCAGTTATGCCCCTTATGTGTAGTGGAAGCGTGTTGAACAGTCTCGGGCCTCTGATGTTGATAGAGTTCTCTCTCAGAGTACCTGTTGCACCTCTGCTTTTCAACGGGGGTATTCTGCACATCCTGCCATGTCTTCTGGTCTCATGTGGTGTTATTTCTGTGTGCAGGTTTGGGACCAGCCCCTCAATTATTTTCCACGTGTAAATTATTATGTATCTCTCCCGCCTGCGCTCAAGGGAGTACAGATTTAGGCTCTTTAGTCGGTCCCAGTAATTTAGATGTTTTACTGAGTGGATTCTAGCAGTAAAGGATCTCTGCATGCTCTCTAGGTCAGCAATTTCTCCAGCTTTGAAAGGGGCTGTCATTGTGCAGCAGTACTCCACTCTAGAGAGCACAAGCGTTTTGAAAAGTATCATCATCGGTATAGCATCTCTAGTGTGAAAAGTTCTTGTTATCCAACCTGTCATTTTTCTTGCAGTTGTGACGGCTACTTTATTGTGTTCTTTAAAGGTAAGGTCTTCCGACATGAGTACACCCAGGTCCTTTACATTGCCTTTTCGTTCTATGTTATGATTTGCCTGCATTTTGTACGTGGTTCCTGTTTTTATGTTTTCAATTTTTCCGTAGCGCATGAGCTGAAACTTATCCTCGTTGAATACCATATTATTTTCTGTAGCCCATAGAAAGACCTGATCAACATCTGATTGGAGGTTTGCCGTGTCCTCTATGTTGCCAACTCTCATGAAAATCCTAGTGTCATCTGCAAAGGATGATACAGTGCTATAGGTTGTGTTCTGGTCTATGTCCGATATGAGGATGAGAAAAAGTACTGGAGCAAGCATAGTACCCTGGGGGACTGAGCTCTTCACGGTTGATGGGCTGGATTTTATTTTGTTGACTATTACACATTGGGTTCTGTCAGTCAGGAAATTGTAGATCCATCTGCCTATTTTCCCGGTAATTCCTTTTGAACGCATTTTATGTGCAATAACACCATGGTCACATTTATCAAAAGCTTTTGCGAAATCTGTGTAAATTACATCAGCGTTTTGTTTGTCTTCCATAGCATCTAATGCCATATCATAGTGGTCCAGCAACTGCGACAGGCAAGAGCGCCCTGTTCTGAAACCATGTTGTCCGGGGTTATGGAGATGCTGTGATTCCATGTATTTTGTGATCTTACTTCTTAGCACTCTCTCAAAAATTTTTATGATGTGCGATGTTAGTGCTATCGGTCTGTAATTTTTTGCCTCTGCCTTATTTCCTCCTTTATGGAGTGGTGCTATCTCTGCTGTTTTTAGTATGTCAGGGATAACGCCAGTATCTAGGCTTTGTCTCCACAGAATGTGAAGGGCCTGCGATAGTGGTTTTTTACAATTCTTGATGAATATGGAGTTCCAAGAATCCGGGCCTGGTGCAGAGTGCATAGGCATACTGTTTATGGCTTCTTCAAAATCTAGTGGGGATAGGGCGACGTCTGATATGTGATTTGATGTTGGTATCATATCCATGAAAAATTCATTTGGGTTATCAATCTTTAGTGCATTTAATGGCTCACTGAAAACAGAGTCGTACTGCTTCCTCAGTAACTCGCTCATTTCTTTGTTGTCATCTGTGAAAGTTCCATCTCCCTTTCGCAGGGGCCCGATACTAGATGTGGTTTTTGATCTTGATTTTGCATAGGAGAAAAAATATTTCGGATTTCTCTCTATTTCACTGATGGCCTTTTGCTCTCTTTGCCTCTCCTGGGTTTTGTATGATTCTTGTAGCTTGAGTTCAATTGTTTCTATTTCTCTACCTAACCTTCTTCGCCGTTCTTGAGATAGGGTGCGACTCTCAAGTTGTTCCGCGATTCGTTTTCTTCGCCTATATAAGGAACGACGTTCCCGTTCCAATCTGCATCTCTTTCTCTTTTTTCTTAGGGGTATGCGGTTTGAACATATTTCTAGTGCTACTGAGCTTATTTTTTCCAGGCACTGGTTCAGGTTTGCATTTCCTAGCTGTTCTTCCCAGTTTATTTCTGTGAAGTCCTGGTTTATTTGCTCCCAGTTTATCCGTTTATTATTGAAGTTGAATTTGCTGAAATCTCCTCCACCGGGAATCTGGACTGGTTTTGGAGGTCCATTCCCCATGGTTGTCAGTACCTCAATTAAGTTGTGATCTGAGTAACAGGTATTTGTAATCATTATGTTCCCGATCAACTCATCATTATTAGTGAAAATGAGGTCCAGCGTGTTCTCCTTCCTAGTTGGTTCTACTATTTGCTGGTTTAAGGCAAACCTATCGCACATCCGTAGCAGGTCATTTGCATGTGCCTGCTCATTTAGGCTACTTCCTGGTATTCTTTCTGATATTACTGTATTAGCCAGGTGCTTCCATTTCAGGTGCCGTAGGTTGAAGTCCCCAAGCAGGATGATGTTCGGAGCTGGATTTGTGAGGTTTTCCAAGCAGTGCTCTATTTTCATTAGTTGGTCTTTAAACTGCTGAGGGTTTGCCTCCGGTGACTTATATACAAGGACAACAACTACATTTAGGATCTCTATTTTGACTATCAGCACTTCCACCATATCATTTGAGGTGTTTAGCATCAAGGTAGTCCTTTGTGTGAGTTTCCGTTAGGGCTGCAAACACTGCATTTGCCTCATGAAGGAGACCATCTATAAAATGAACTTTGTTGGATTTGCGTGTTTTTATACCCTGGATGTTGGCAAATATAAATGATGTTATCGTGTTAGTGGAAGTGCTGGATGCTTTAATTGGTGTTAATATCTGAGGCTCTGGTAAGGAGCCTCAGATATTAACAGATTATTTAACGGAGGGGCCACCTACCCCCTGTCAACCGCGAGTTTCCACGGAGCGCGAAAGTGTTAATGTTTTTTAATGTTTTCATTACTATTTGTGTTTTGAAATGGAAATAGTTGACTTTGCAAACATTTTGACATTAAATTTACCTGAACATTTGTAAAAATAACAAAAATATGTCCTTGACAATTGCACCAAGACGTAAAGTTCATGTTGTCTATTTTCATAATAAACATTATTCATAGAAATAAAACTGAGCTTACCAGGCAAACCAGAAACATTTTTTTCTTCTGAGACTTTTACTTCTGTCTGAGCCCTCCTTTCCTTCTTAGCTTTACGTCTGGCATCAATTAAGCTGTATCCACAGTTGCAAACATATCGAAGAATATGTACGGCGACATTACAAGAGGGACAGAGTCGGTATTTATATAGCCCATTTTTCACAACTGAAAAATAAAGATAACTTTGGGTATGATAAAGTACGTAATATGTTTATAATTTAATATAGATCTCTGCTTACACTATAACTACTTCATATGAGCTACATTGGATAATAATTGTTTATAAAGTACTGTACTGTATATGGATTTCACAATAATTAGACTATTCAGGAAAATTTACATGTTTATAATATAATAATATAATGAAGATCATAAATGGCATATGGAATAAAGAAAATATTGTTAGACCTCTTATAATATTCTCCTAAACTATAATCTGGCATTGTTAGGTGTATTCCGCTTGAGACCCAAGTACAGTAGTTGATACACAATTAGTGAGAGTAGCTTCAGGGACCCACAAGGGGGCGCCTCTCAGAAAAGAGGATTGTCAGCCAAGAAGACTAAGATCTGATAGTACAACCAGTATAGTTAAGACCCAAACACAAAAGAGGCAGTATCTATCAGAGAGGCAAACTGCAGGTCTCACAGGAGATACTTGAAAAGATCCACCTGAGCTACTAAACAGGAACTCCAAGGAAAAGGAACCCTTCAGAAGGGGTATCTGACAGGCTTACAGGGATGCGGAAACAAACCCTGGGAAAGCTTCAATAAGATCAAACTCATACATGTTGGGGGGATGTGAAAATTTCTCCCCCCTGAAGCAAAAGGTCCCTTATCATTAAGGACAGACTCAACTAGGATCTAAGAGAAACCAAAGCTTCCTATCTGACTTCCTTCAAGCCTCAGAAACCAAACACAAAGGCTCTGGAGCAGAGCTAGAGTCTACGCCTACCTCCCAAGAGCAGGAAAGCTAAGACCAATGGAGAGGCTTCGGAGGAAGGTATTGGCTGGAAGAAAGTAAACCCCAAGACCTTGGCGAGACTAGGCAGCTCAAGTGACACTATGCCCTGAAGTGGAAGGAGCCACCCTAGAAGATGGCCTAGGTCTCGTCTAGGCCTCGCCATGGGAGCAGGCTGTATCTCAATCTCACTGTCCGTGCTATTATCATCAGACATCTGTGCATAGTCTCTATCGGTGTCAGTCATCAATATCACTTTCCTCACTATTAGAGAATAATTCACTATTTATTTGATTTTGAGTCAATGATTGTATGGTGCATGCCCGGGAGGCGTTTGACCGTGCGCTCGCCATGGTGACTGTTGGGTAACTGAGGCCTCTCACACTGTGGTGGTCCAGCTGGATTTTGTTTCAAAATGTCGGATGTTTACTAAAGCCCCTGGGTAGCATATGGGGGGCCCTCCTCTACCCCGCAGTCCGTTTAAATCTTGTGCGGTACTCCAAGATGTCATATATGACCAGTCTCCGTGGTGTAGTGGTAAGACACTCGCCTGGTGTTCCGCGAGCGCTTTGTCATGGGTTCGTATCTTGGCTGTGGAAGAATTTACTGGGCGCAAATCCTTAACTGTAGCCTCTGTTTAACTCAACAGTAAAATGGGTACTTGGTTGAAAAAACGATTCTTCGCGGCGGGGATCGTATTCCAGGGACCTGCCCGAAATGCTACGCATACTAGTGGCTGTACAAGAAGGTTACAATTCTTGTATATATCTCAAAAAAAATAAAAAATAAAATAAAAAAATAAATAAATAAATAAATAAATATGCAGTGGTGTGCACTTTTGCATCAGTTACTCAACACATCATATGAAGTGTTGCGTAGTTTAACCCTTGTGTTGCTCAGGGCTAATTAGCATTTGTTACCCACAGGTGCATACCAAAAAAAAAAAAAAAAAAAAAAAATCTTCTTAACCTGTTGCGTTCCCTGACCACGAGAAAAATATAAAAAATTAATTGTACTTACCAGTGACATAATTGAGTCAACAATATGGGCGATGACGTCACATCCTACATGATCGCTCATGGAAGATGCGTCCCGGAGGTGTCGCACGCGGTCTTCAAGCAGCCAGAGTTGCCACGAATTTATTATTGCTGCATTATTTACAGTGTCTAGGCATATTTTTTGCTAATATTATTCACTAATTGTGTTGCATATAATGTTACATCATGGCCAATGGCAATAAATGTTGCAAACATCGAGAATACACATGCGCACACAAATGTTTTCCATTACGCCTATATAATATGTATTCACATTGTTCATTATTATATTTACACACATACACGCACTATTTACAGGTTTATGCACTAATCTTGTAGAAGTCTTGGAGAGAGTGGTAGTCGTTGAAGCAGTCGACAGCACACAATGGAACTGCACATGCTTCACACCATGTTTGCACCTGTTTTCATTTCTGATCTCTGCTTAGTTTGTAGATCAACAAAAAGGAATCACGTTTGCCTATTGCACGCTTTCCAGCTGGTGGAAAATGATTTAGTCTGTGAGCTTGAAAGCCCTCAATGTGAGTGAGCCTGGGTGTAGCAGCATGCTGCAACACTGGGTTCATGATGGGTTTTTGTATGCCAGGAACATCTTTGCAACAACTTTGCTAATAACTGTGTCGCAAGTGTATGAGCAAACGAACGGAAACTTGGTTTATGTCAAGTTTTCACCAGATACATATTGTAGCAGTTCAGCATGCTCATGTCAACAAGATGAAAAAATACTTTTTTCGTCCACTTCACTGTTTTCCGCACACACTCGATAGTGCCCACCATCATCTCAGATTTATCAACCAAACGCATGTTGATATTATAGTCAAGAACACAATCTGGCTTATATACTATATCTTGCGTTACTCGGTTCACCTTGCCACTGTTCACCATTGTACCATCATGAACGGTTGTCAGCAAGTTCACTTTTGTCTTTCCACCTAACTAGAGAGTATTTGATCACATTTTCTGAGCTCGCAGTCACCAACTTCAAGTTTATTTTCAAACACTGGCATTTCCCTTCTTCTTGGCTTGACTGTGCCAACTAATCCAGTTCTATTTTCAATCAAGAACCTAGCTAGCAAGGGATTTGTATAGCAATTATCTGTGTACAAAATGTGGCCCTTGTTCATCCATGGTGCCATCAGTTACTTCACCACACTACCTGAGAAACCATGTTGGTCGTTACCGGGAATGTCTACATCGCTAGCAGAATACAGAATCATGTGTAACACATATCCTGTTTCACAGTCACAAAGAACAAAGAATTTCAATCCAAATCTGTTTCGTTTGGAGGGAATATACTGCTTGAAGGCAACACGTCTTTTGAAAAGCACAAGGGATTCGTCAATCACCAGCTTCTGTGCTGGTACATAAAAATCTCTGAACTTTCCAATAACTTCATTCATATAGTGCCTGACTCGCCAAAGTCTATCATCCTCTGTCTGGTCATCATTACTTGCAAAATGAAGACATCTGAGGAGTATCTGAAACCTGTCTCGGGACACATATTTCCCGAAGAAAGGTGTTGGAATAGTCTGGTTTTTGTTCCAATAATCTGTGATAGCGTGTTTGACACAATGCTTCATCAACATACATATTGCTAAAAATACATACATTTCACCTACAGTGGTGTTTTTCCAACACTGCAATCGTGAATATTCTTTTATCTCTTTTCCAATGAGGTTCACCTCATTGGGGTTCACCTCACTGAGGTTCGAACCTGCATGAAGGTTCGTTTGGTGTACAATATATTCCATGAGCGGCTCATCATAGAATGCTGTAAAATATTCCATTTCACACATGTCCTCACCATTATCAGGGAAAAGGTCTGTAAACCCATTGTCTTTATTGTCAAAAGCAAGAATTAGAGGAATAAAATCGTCACCATCACTCCACACAAGTACACATGGTGTCCTGCGAGATGCAACAGGGGCATGACGGCGAGGAAACGATGCATACCATGGACCAGGAGCTGAGCCCATCTACGCAAAATACGGCTGCTATATGTACGTGAGGTGAATGCACGTGAACATGAGGGTCTTGGTTCCTCTTGTGGTGCCATGCGGTGGTGCTTGGCTGGGCGAGACGCTGCTGATGCGAGAAATTCTCGCCCGGTAACACCACTGGTACTGGCAACAGGCTCGGTAACACTATGCTCTGAATCCACTTCACTAAAACCAGAAAATGAGTCACCTTCCTCTGACTCATCGCCCAAAATATCCCCATACCCTAAATAAGCACAGGAACTGTGTGGTCGTAGGTGAATTGGAGTACACACCGAGCGAGGAGGCATGGGTGAGCGTGTAGGCCTCGCCATGGGATGAGGCTGTATCTCATTTTCACTGTCTGCGCTACTATCATCAGTCAATTGTGTGTAGTCGTTATCAATGTCAGTCATCAAAATTACTTTCCTCACCATCAGAAAATAATTCACTAGTTATTTGCTCTTGGGTAAGTGATTGCGTGGTGCGTGCCCGGAAGGCATTCGGCCGTGTGCTCGCCATGGTGACCGCTGGTAAACTGGGGCCTCCCACGCATTGGTGGTGTGTGCTGGATTTTTTTACAAAATGGCAGCTGTTTACTATAGCCCCTGAGCAGCGTATAGGGGCCCCCGCTACCCTGTCGACCATTCAAATCTTGCGCGGTACGCGGTAATTGCGGTACTTGCACAAATTATTGCAAGTTCCTCAACCCTTCACATGACGTGTTGCGCAGTTTAAGAGTTAAAGGTTATGGCCCAGAGCAACATTTTGACTTTTTTTAATGTTCTTTACTCCGTGATTTGAAATAAAAATTGTTGAATTTGACAATATTTTAACATTGTTCTCATGTTTAAAAACTTTCAAGTACTGTAATGTTAATAATTCACTGATCATGAATTTCTTGCATGAAAAAAACAGCGTTGAATGTAATGAAACGCCATTTTCTGGGTGAGCCCCGGAGGCTCCCTGGAGCTTATCGGGCTAATGTATGTTATGTTAGACCGGGACATTAGCTAAGGAGTTCAGACCTACCAGGGACCAGCGCCAGAACCTGGCCCCTTCAGAGAGGTTTCAGGGAGCAATGGCCCTGGAAAACCCCATATGGTTGGGGGTTTTCCTTATCTGCCATCGACCGGGGTTAGGCACCCAGAAAGGTAGGCGTAACAAAACAAACCC